TCCAAGATACTAAATTTGGATTAAAGTTTTTATGTTATAAATGCTAGGACAATGTTAAAAATGGCAGTACTGCCTAGAGAAATACAGAAGTACAATTTGTCTATGACAGAGGTCCCCAATTCCCAGTCCGTGGACTGGCACCAGGCCACAGATGCTAAAAACTGGGCTGAGCAAAGAAGTGAAACCCCATCCACGGGATGCAGGCAGCACATGAAACCGCAACCCTTCCAGTCTACGGAAAAAACTCTCTCCGCATGTATCTGTGCCTGATGATTAGAATAATCATCTAATTCTTCCTTTATACAATGGGAAATGTGACAAAAATGAATGCAGAAACTACTGAGAGTTTAATAGTGTGTCTGGGAAGGTATTTGGCAGAATTCAGGATATAGGAAATAATAATGAACCAAATCTAGGGAAAGTAGTGAAATTATTTGTTTGACAGGAAAGCTTTTTCTTCTAACATTTATTAATTTAGAGAAGTACATGGTAAAGTGAACGTTTCATGAAATTGCAGTTGCAGGTTGGTTGTTGAATACAATAAAAAAGGTATGTGAGTGAAATGCAGCATGCATCAGAACTAATGGGATATCTCAAATGTGATTGCTTGCTATTGGTGTCCTACAATAATAGGCATGCCAGTGCTAGTATTCATTACCAAGGTTTACTAGCATTCTATTCTCATTATGAAATGCTTCCAACTGTTCAGAAGTACAAGGAACCAGAAACACAACTGGCACCATGGAGTAGATTTCTTCAAATTGGACTCCATCCAGGTAAGTGTATATCAGTTTGGAATTCCAAAATTCATGGCCATTGTAGAGCTTTTTGGAATTTGAAGACCACATATCTAAAAGAATCTGAAACTGAGAAGACTACTAAAGGTGTTATTATTTGGAACAGACTAAAATTAGAAAGAATGCAAGAAAACTTTGATCATATTTTTTTAGATAAATATGGCCTTTATTTTCAGTTGTTTGATTTATACATAATATTAGATTAGGTATTTCTGGCTTACTAAACTTATCCATAAAGCTTCACTTCTCATTCTTGGATAAGAAGCGAAACGTCTTGAAAGAAAAACAAGAAAGTCCAGTTGTCTCGTGAAAAAAGCACCTTTGGGACAACCATGACCTGGATGACTGAGAATCTCCATAGTTAGCCATAAAATCTTAAGCAAATTGAGAGAGAAGGTCACTTGCTTTAAATGAAGAGCAAGGGGCTGGAATGATAGTTGGTGAAATATTGCTATCTCCTAAATTTCAGAAATGCATTGCCCCTGCACAAATTATTCAACAAAAGAGACATAAAAGAGTGTAAAGGAAATGATTTGGGATGTGATTTTTGTGTCCGTTTTTTAAAAATGTGCCCACCACATAGAAACCATGAGGATAAAAATGCCAAATCCTTTGTGATTACAAAACGTAACAATGATCACAGTGTTCTTATCTGTGTACACATTTCTGAAGTTCTAAAAAAAATCTGTGAATCAGTGTCTGTGAATCAGCTTGCTTAGTGCTCAGGTGTTTTGTTCCCATTTTCTCCACTGCCAATCAACCATAATTAAATATGTAAATGCCAGTTCCCGGGATGTTATTGCTCTCAGAACTCTAGAAGAGAGTTATGTAGATGACTCTCCATAGACCATGTCAATGAAGCAATAGTAGCGATTTGGCACTGAAAACAAGTCATCAACAGACACACTCTAAATAAGGTTTCTTGTTCTCCTGACTTAATTATAGCATTAAAACACTTTAAGAGATATTCAGCAAAATACAAAGCAAAGATTAGCCTTTTAGCATCAGCTTTACTGCCAAGGATGGATTTCAATATTTTTAAAGACATTATTTTTGGTTGGGAGGTGAAGTGGCAGGTGGCTTTCCAAGTCTATCCAGGAAAAAAAAAAGTTAAAAATAATTGAGAGTGACAGGAAAACCCTCATTCACTTGCCTTTCCAATGTTCGTTATTACAGTGAAAGGATGAAAGGAAGCTCCAGGTTTTTGAGCTTCCTTCCTAGATCTCCAAAGTCAGTGATGTTACAGTACCTTTTTCCAGGCTCATTTGTACCCACCTGTTTTACTAATGGTGGATACCTTTATTAATTTATTTATTAAATTTACGTGCTGCCCATCTCACTATCAAGCGACTGGCAGCTTACAATATCGTAAAAGCAAGTACAAAATGTTATAATATTAAATATTAAAATAAAGATTAAATGAGTTAAAAACCAAAATACAATGGGGTAGAAGTTGGACCTTATCACCTCCAGCATGATTGATTCTCATTATTGGCTGATGGCATACTCCATACTTCATTTTCCTGTCTCCTGTTCTGCAGTGTCTTTCTTTCTTCCATAGGGTTGTAAGTTATTTTTTTCCCCTCCTATTAGGCCTTGAAAATTCCAAAAGTGTAAAATATTTTTATATCTGTTGCTTTTGGTCTTCACTCTTGTTGAGCTGGCTTGCTCATTTGTTTGAGTTTTCTTCCGATGGAAAGCTACTTCCTATATTAGATCCTGTTCTAGCATTTCCTTGATTTGATTTGATTTGATAAATCTTTATCCTGCAGCCTCTTTTACTTTGGCAGCTGGAGAAATAAGAATGCATCTTGTTCCTAGTGACTTCTAAATGAACAGCAAACTTTGCAATCTTTGTCAATAGTTTTATGCTGTCCTGCCATCATAATGTGAAGTTTACAATTTGAAACATCTTTATTTCTGTTACATACCAACGCCATTGTGAAATGACTGCTCCTGTATCAAAGGGCCCTTGTTTTCCCCTTGTTCCTGACTGCATTGGGTTCAAAATTTCCGTGAAAGAAAGAACGTAAATCAATCGGTTTGCTTTTGCTTTTTTGTTATTTCAAGGAGCAAAGAATACAAGTGCGATCATTTGAAATACAAGTATAGAAAAAGCTAGCTTTTAAATAAGCACAACTCATTTGTTTTAGCAAAAGCAGAGGGAAAAAAATCTCAGCATCTCAACCGGCACAGACTTGAGCCAGTAAAAAGGCCATTAATGTGCTTTCCACTGAGAACCTGAAAGCAGCAGAATCATTGCTTGTTCAAGGGCCAACATAAAGGCGAGGGAGGAAGCCAAAATTACATTTATGAATTTTTCCTACTGCAGTTATAATTGGGCTCCACAAGGTATTCCATTCTCTCAGAAATCCCCACAACCATTTTATATCATCCACAGTCGAGGCAAGTTCATTTTGTTATAATGAAGACAGTTTTTTCAAAAGTGCCATTGTGGGCCAGAAAGTCCTATATGGAGAATTTGCCTCCAAAAGAAACCTTTGCTATCCTGGCAGTGATGTTAGGTGGCAAATTACCCTCATTCCCAAGTTCTAATGATGCCTCCTAGAGTTCCTTACTAGCCTGCTTGGAAGTAGAGTTCACCAGATTGGCACACTTAACTTCCTCAATAGAAGAGTAGAAGTTCTTCACTGTGAAGAGGCTGAAAACAAGGGAATTGCCTGAGGCACAAAGTATTTGCCTCAGTGCGTGGTTATTGAAAATACTTGACCTTGAATAGAGAACTACAAAGGACCCAAAACCAAGGTGTTTTGACATTTCCAACAGAGATCATTTGTAGACATATTGTTTGTTTGTTTAATCAGTTTTTTAAAACCATCCATCCATCTGACAGAGGGAGTTGGGGTGGTGTACAAGTAAAAAATATAAAAAGATAAAAACAGTATATACAATTTACAATTTAAAAAGGCTAGGATAGGATAAAAAATAATATTGAAGTTAATTAAATGGTGCAGGAGAGGACTTTTAAGGAAGGTAACCAGCCCTATGGCTACATGCTCTTCTACAAGCTCCAAGTAGCACTATAGAACCACGTTTTTACCAAGAGACTGGGGACCCTACCTCCTCTGAGGGGAAAATATTCCACAGGGTGGGGACAACAGCAGAGAAGGTTCTCTTACTTGACCCAGCCAGTCAGAATTCTTTAGCTGACATGATCCACAATGTACCTTCCCTGCTTGATCAGGTGGAATGAGTTGATGTAATAGGACAAAGACGGTTCAATAGGTAACAGAACCGCAAATATTTATTTGCTCCAAATATATTTATTTTCATTAGAAAACGCTCAATTTCATAAATTTTAAATGTTCGTGACAATTTGGGTAAAAACACTGAAAACATTCACCTTTCCTTGCGCCTCCCCCTCCCCGGGTCATTTTTGTTCCTAAACTGTGTCATTGCAAATGTTCAAAAAACCACTCACGTCCAGTTTGATAAAATTCCTGACCTCTTCAAGGGACTGAAAAGCAAAATTGCAGGTCTTTTGAGAATCTCATTTCTGTCTTGGAATTAGTTAATCTCTGATCAGAAACTTAATTTCCAGAGACCCTTAATTTGACTTGGGCTGTCTAAGTCATCTGTGGCTGGAAGAATTATCATGGAATGTATAAGTAAATCATGTCTTAGCATACTGTTGGAACATCACATTCTTCTTTGTATATATCTTTGCTTCAGCTTAGTTATTCATCTTTATACGACAAGACAATGAACCATTTTTCCTCTCCTGTTTAATGTCTGATTCTATAAATAACTACCCTGTGTACAGAATATTAAATTATTGCCAAATTTAATTATTGAGTTAATGTTAAACATATTTAATTATCTCAGTTTAGGACCACCCACTTGTAGTTGAGAAGAACAGTTTCTTGGTGGCAAGACCTTTCTTACAGTAAAAACCATGGTATAATCTTTCGCAGACCTCAGTGGAACCTGTAATCTTACATAAGGATGTATTTTTGAACTTTAATGTAAAGAAAACTTCACACAGAATTATGAAATGTTTAGTGTTCTGTGTTTGCATTTCTACAGTAACTATAAAACCACCTCTGTCCTAATAGTTCACAAGAAGCTGTTATTTCAGTGATTAAGATTTAAGATGCTGCTTAACTCTCATACAGATCATAAGTACTCTGAAGTGTACTTCATTAACCCTTTGCAACAACCAGCCAATGTGCTTTATTCATAAACCATTATTAACAAAGCTTTATTAATATTAATCCCCTGCAATTCATATTCCAGATCTAAAACAGTGTTCCACAAACAGTGTCCATATCACTTGCTGAGTTGTATCCATTAATGACAGAGTACAATTCAGAGGAAAAATGTAAAAATCTATTTTATTTACAGGACAGAAAATCTACAGTGCCTTTGATTCCAATCATCGGTGGCTTCAGTTGTATATCTTCAGTGAAGTGTGTGCACGCAAGTGCAAAGTGGTATAGGGTGGGATGGAGACCCAGGGAAGAGAGACAAAGTTGAGATACAATCTTGTAACATGATTTCAAACAGTAGTGTTCACTGTCCAAGAAAATGCCATTTATCAACTAAGATAAAAAATGACAATGAATTATCAATAATTAACAATTATAAAAAGTTTGGATTATAAGAATTCAAAATCCAAATCGCTATTATTCTATAGAGTATACACAGGAAAGAGTGTGATCTCATGTTGTTTTGTATATCATTCTAATGAATATTCAAACACCATGTTTTACCACATACACCTAGTCCTTGTTTAGCAACCACAATTGAGAGTGGTGACTCGGTCATTAAGCAAAGCAGTCATTAAGTGAAACTGACTGTGCTTATTATCTTATTTCAACTTTCTTTTGCTTTACAGACATACAACAGTTGTAAATGTGAAAAATTATCACATTTACCTTTTATCACCTTTTATCATCATCATAATTATGAATGGTCATTAAACAAGGAAGTCACTATATTTACAAATCCTTTGGATCCCAACGTACATATAATAGCATAAAAAGTCTGCGAGGTATTTTGAGTGTGGTTTGTAAAAAGCTATCTGTTTTTTATACTTTCTATTTGCTTAATCAAGCAATAGGAAACAAGAATAAATTTGAAAATTATTTTTCTGCCATGATATTTAACTCCCAAGTTACATGTATATCTCTTTTATATCTTTTGCAATAGCATTAAATTCTAACTTCTAGACTGCTCTTCCCCACCCCAGTTCCGTAGATTGAACATTACACTGCATGTGTCTAGTTGCTGATAACTTGCCCTTAAAGTTATGCCTCAAAATGACAATTAATTCCATCTGTACCAGTATTGAAAAACAAAACTGAATAGGAGATAATGTTTCCAAAAATGAGATTTGATCTCACTTTTTCATTTTGATAATCTATCTACTGAGATGCCACATCCAGTTTTACCCAAGTCAGCACTTTCCAAATGTGTATTGGTAGTAAATACATCTGGATAGCATCTGGATGAAGATGAGGCATTCAGTTTGATGCTCTGAGGCTCCTGGGCTCCTGCACTTCCAGACATTTAGCATATTTGACAAAGTTACCCAACTGAAAAAGTAAATCCCATCAAAATCACTGAGATTTCTGCCATGTGCATAGAATTATAATTCTATGCACATGGTAGAAACATCAGTGGTTTTGATGGGATTTACTTTTATATATGCTTGGTAACACAAAAGAAGAACATCACAAGGGATTTAATTGTTTTAAAAGCCTGCAGAAAAATCACTTTTGAAACTTCAGTTAGTAAACGTTCATTAATTCTTGAAAAGGCTATACTCCATCCGCAAAAAAACAGTTTCTGAACATTTAACTCACTCTAACAGAGCTCTATTCAATAAAAAAAATACACAGATCGTATTAAAAGCTAACTTTATATTTATTATGCTATGATTATACAAATAATTGCTTAAAATATCACAATCAATTGGAATAAATAATAATCCCTCCCCCCCCTCTCTCTTTCTCACACACACACACACACACACACACATACACAATCCCCATGGGTGGCTGAGAATGTGAACTCTTCTGTTCATCCCTAATCCTAAACTATTCCATGTATAATTATTTGTAAAGAAAAAATCTTAAGAAACACCTTTGGATTTACACATTTACACCTAGGTATACTTTACTTAAGAGAGGGTATTCTACTGAGAATCCCACTGAAACCACAGTGGTTTACTTCTTAATAATTATAGAATGATATCCTATTGTTCCTCTCTTCCAGTTGCTCAGGGCAATACACTCAGCCCTCCCTTCTCCTTTTATTCTGAGTAGTTCTATAGGACAGTTTTGACTAACAGACAATGATACATTAGAGGTCAGAGAGCTCATATGGTCCAGGACAGATATACAGAGATATGCACATACTTTGGTGTCTACATCACAGTTCTCTACAAAACAATGAACCTCTTCTGTAGATCATCTAAAACTCAATATGAATTGTAAGTACTTGTTAGGACACATTCAAACAATCTGAAAATAGTTCTCACCTTCTTTGGAAACAGAAGGCTCTTCCACAAATGGTGGAGCCTAAAGAAAAGAAATAAATTATTGTGTAGAATGCATGGTGGTGTACAGATTACAAAAAGAGAGGTGGTAATATAAAATTTGATATAGTTTGTAATCTAAGAGTCTGTAGATTAAAATTCAAGACAGCAAAGAGACAAAAATCAGATGGATAAAAATACAGGAAAACACCACAATCAATTCATTTATATATACCTGGCTTTAAATACAGAGAAACTAAGTACTTCTGTAAAAGGCTTTGCAAAGAATAATTTGAGATATACATACATACATACATACATACATTACATACATACACACACACACACACAATCTTCTAAATAGAATAGAATAGAATAGAATAGAATAGAATAGAATAGAATAGAATAGAATAGAATAGAATAGAATAGAATAGAAGTAGAGTTAGAATAGAACAGAATAGAATTAAAAATAATAAAAAAAAAGCTCAGGTCCTTCTGGGATTTAAATTATTTTGTTGTTGTTATTGTGGCTTGTTTCTTTAAATAGTCTTCTTTGAATGATATTAAAATCTGCTTCAAGCTTCATCTCACTTTTGAAAATGTTACAGCTTAACATAATTAGTACAAAAGTGTATCTATGCAGGAAAACAAACACCAGCTATATGTATTTTGTATCCTGAATGTGTGGTTTGCAGTTTCTAGTACTAGATGGGCTCCTAAAGTTGAACTCTAATAATTCTTCAAAAAATTAGAAAATTGGCCCTGAAAACAGAATGAGTTTAGGCCATTTCAGAAGCGATTTTTAAAAGTTCTCTCTTGTGAAAAAGGCAAATAGTTCATTAAAAAAATATTTTTTAAAAGAAAAAAGTTCAGATCACATTTGCTCCACTTGAAGAACTGAGATGACTGACAGTAACAAATGGATGTTTTAGTTCGTTAATAGTTAAAAGGCAGCTTTTCTAAATAGCTGAGGCTTTTGAAAAATACTTAACCTTAATGATGCAATCCTCACACTAAGTGAAATAACTTATACTATAAACAGATCACCATTTGCAGTTTTAGGGTGATTATATATATGTGGGAATGTTTTAGGATATAAACAGGCATATGTACTTTCAGTTCTTGTTTTACTTTTAAAGATAACAATGAATCTAATATTGTTGAATGCGGGTTGATACAAATGGGAAAAACATGTTTTATATTGCACAAAAAATAATGCTTATTACATATTCCTCTCTGCTTCCTTCTTTTCCATACTGACTTTAGCCTCCAAGATTTATTTATTATTTATTTATTTATGAGATTTATATACCGCTTTAAGTGCAAGCACTCTCTAAGCGGTGTACACCAGTAAGCAATGTATATATATATATATATATATATTTACATTGCCCCCAACAATCTGGGTCCTCATTTTACCTACCTCAGAAGGATGGAAGGCTGAGTCAACCTTGAGCCGGTGAGATTTGAACCGCTGACCTGCTGAACACAGTCAGCTAAAGTGGCCTGCAGTACTGCACTCTAACTGCTGCGCCACCTCAGCTCATAATGAAAAACCTGCATCTAGTATTTAATTTCCAAGCTAGCATTTTGAATTATAAGAGCATTAACTTCAGTTGCCTGTAACCAATATTGAAAAGGGGACTGGAAAGAAAAAAAATGTATAAATTCCCTTACAGATTGCACAATAGCTTGGATGTCTTCTTCATTGCAGCAATATGGGCTAGTGTCCACCAGAAGGTTGGTGCTGAAAAGAGAACACAATTATTAAGACTTGACGAGTGGCAAAACCAGCTGTTATTTAGAGCAGAGATAAGGAAAGAACAAAATAAGCTGTACATGTGCAAAACAGTAAATACTATCCAGGGTTTGAGATTATTTTTGTCCCATCTAACATGAAAAGTTTATAAATTAAACTGGATGACTCTGCACATACTTTGTGGTTTTATTAAAAACCTATTAAAAACCAAGCAGAAAATCAAAACAGAACTTGATTTTTAAGTGAGAAATTGCACAAACTCAAATGTAGGCAGTTTTAGGTATTTCAGATGTTTTGGCTAAAGCCCAAGACCATAACTGATTGGAGCTGATGAGATTTCCAACCAAAACATCTAACCAAGTTCTAACTAATTTCTGTACACTATAATGCATCAAGTCCCAGGCAAGAGGCAACTGTGATCTCAAATGGCATCTGAACAAACACTCTGTTTTTACTGCCACAAACCATAATATTTTCTGATATACACATACTGTGCTTACACATTTCAAAATCTCATCTATCTTGCCCTTTTCCTCCCAAGATCTTCATTTACTATCTGAAAAATAATTAGGAAGATTTTGCTTTCTTGCAAATTGAGTCAAAGTCCAAACAGCAATTCTATGCATGCTATTCAAAAGTAAATACAATAAAATTTGACATAGTGGACCTGTGGACAGAAAGACAGGTCCATTTAACTTAAATCTAAAAGGTTCTTTTGTGCATGTGTGAGAAACCAGTTTGCTATAAAGCACAAGGTGAGGGTACCCTTATGTATTATTTTGTCACCTCCAAGTGCTACTTCATATATCTGACAACTGCAAGGAGGACAGTGTGACCCCTTCTTTTCTTCACCAAGTCTACATCCTCCCACAATAATGTCATAGCAGAGTGATTCTCAACCTGTGGTCCACAGATCCCTGGGGAGGGCCACAATGTTATCACAGGGGATCACCGAAGGCTTGAAGAAATGTTATGATTTAAATCTTGAGTTAGGTCTTAGGGGTCCATGGCCATAGTCTGTGGCCACAAAAGGTATTTAAAGGGAGTCCATGGTGAAGAAAGGCTTGAGAATCACTGTCATAGCACAATATATCCTGCTGCTGCCATCAGTCTTCCTGTTGACCCTCCCAATTCCCAATCTTACCAGCATCATAAACTTCAGTTAAACCTTGTACCTGATTAATTTTATCTATTATTCTGGGCAGGTCTTTAGATTCATTTGTCCCTGACACCCAAAGACTGTTAAATGGAGGTCCAAATGGAGGTTTACTATATAACTGATTTCAACCAGACTTATTGCCAGGTAAATGTATAAACAGCAGTTTAACAATTCAGTTGTATGCATATTACCTACTTTGATCAATAATCAAATGCTTGGACTAAGCTTCTCTGAATGAACCCCATGCTGAGCTCTGGCCTCCAATTCTTCAAAAGTCTTCAAATAAAAATTACACTTCTTAACTAATGTAGCATTTTTATGGTCTCTCTTCCCTTCTCTTCTCCCCTTCCTCCATTACACAGATCTTTACAGCCACCCTGATTACTTGTACTTTCTAAGCTGAAAACGTTTATCCCTAAGGCTCTGTTCTTGATATTTTAATTGAAGCATGGGCAAATACTGGCATTGTACAATAAGAACAAGCCATTCCTAAATACATTGATTATGAGGCAGCTGAAAGAAAAAAGGGAATACTGTGCTTGAGACATATGCAGGATAGGCTGTTCCCTTTACTCTTACTTTTAAGAAGTCCTGAGTCACATCCATGATTTCTTATTACTCCAGCCAGAATAAAGAATACTAAAAAAAAATCCCAAGACCCTTTCCAGAAAAAATAACATTATCTTCAATTTCTGTGAGAAAACTCTTAATGAAATAATAGGAATCCAATACATTTGGGAATGGCTTACTTTCCAAGAAATCAGGGCTCGTTCAGAAAGGACAAAACAAAAAGTAAAGTATTTCTTTATGATAAAGATGCACTTGTTCAGTGGCCATGCAAAGTTACAGCAAACAGGTCTTATGACTGCTCCTTGTATTTGTGGTCATCATAGCATCCTATGGTCACATGATTGTGATCTGGACACTTGACAGATAGTCACAGTGTCCTACAGCCATGTGATTGCTATTTGCAATCATCACTGCAAAGAAGCAAAGTCAATGAGGAAACCAACAGAAGATCACAAATGGTGATCATATAATGCCGTGGCTTTACTGCACAGGATTTGCTTAATGAAGGCAACCATAACTGTCACAATTGCCATTATGTTTTATGACTGCATCACTTAGGAATGATGTTACCTTAATTAAATTGGATTTTGACCAAACAATGATAGATGCATACCATTTTATGGCTCCTCCATCAGACTTTTTGTGAACCAAAGCTTTCCAGCATTCATGGGTGGACTTGATGATTTCCAAAGCAAATGCCTATTTAAAACAACATTGAGAGGAGAAAAGAGAAAAGAAAACATTGGCTAGGTATTATAATTGTCAAAAATGTAAAAAAGAGAACTTTAAGAACACTCAAGATAAAGATTAAATCTGAAACTTGAAATTTTATTTAATCATTCCTGGTTTTTTTACTGTTAATACCTACTTGACCTCCAAACTTCAAAGCTTTCAGATATCAGTAACTGGCATCTCCCACCATCATGAAATAGAAAGGGGGGGGAAGTCAATAATGACAATGTGCATTCCATAACAAGAGAACATATTAAGATGGTTTATGTAAATCAGTGGGAGCTACACTTTATCTGAGAAAAAAGTAACTCTGCTTAACTTTTCCAGACTTGAAAAACTGCTTTTAGAAAAACTGCTGAAACAAAAACTCATGAATTATATTCTTATTTTGGCTGTGTTTAAAGCAAGGCTGTTCAGCATATGCTGAAGTTAAAAATATCAGTTCTTTGGCTGATATCTTGGAAAACATCTAAATAAGGTCACAGAAGAGCCAGGAGACCATGGCTGGAGCCAAACAATTCAGGATAAGAGATATTTGGAAATAGCAATAGCATTCAGACTTATACACTGCTCTATAGAGTTTTACAGCCCTCTCTGAGTGGTTTATAAATGTCAGCATATTATCCCCAACAATCTTGAGTCCTCATTTTACCAACTTTGGAAGGATGGAAGCCTGAGTCAACCTTGAGCTGGTCAGGATTGAACTCCTGGCTATGGGCAGAGTTAGCCTGCAATACAGCATTCTAACCACTGCACTACCAAGTCAGGAACACAGGTGATCATAAAGCTCAAACTTTCAAGGAAAGTCACAGAAGATATCTTACCAAGTGAATTTGTGAGTAGTGAGAACTCTGGTCTCTAGGAACTACCTGAAAGCTAAAGTTCTCCCTATCCCTAAACTCACCTGTATTGAAATTGCACTGTAAAATCACCAGATTTTCCTCAGGCAGTCTTAGAAAATTACAGCAACTGGGGGAGATATGTTATTCCACATTATTTCCAGAATATTTTTTGTAATTCAGAAGCTAAAACTCTATCTCCCAACCAGCCAATATCCGAAGATGTTTCTTTGGCCTTTAAAAAAAATCTTTTCAGAATCTTTTAAGAAGAGAATCATTTTTTTTAACTTCTGACAGTCTTGTATTCCAATCTTATGGGGGGGAGGGTTTAGTAAAAAATAGCACTATTGAAATTGGATCATTTTGTCGCTGAATATCCCTCAGTGAGACCTCAGATACTACAAGGACTGCATTCAGATTACAAGTTGCCCATCCCTGTTGTGATAAAGTTGAGGATCCTTTACAGAAGACTAAGTTCATATTTCATAGAGCTATCAGAGATTCAAAAAAATATAGACAAAAACATGAGATGTTTTGACAAAAGAATGGCTTTATTTGTACCTCCATGATATTTTGAAGTGAAGAAAAATATTATGAATTACTATGAAATGTTTTGCAGTATTGGCTTCCTTACATATTCTTGATTGGGATTCTGTAGGATTTTACAGAGCATTTATCCAGAGAATATACTGTTCATAAAGTTTATCATCTTAAAAGTAACCAATTTTTCACCTTGTTTTTAAATGTCCCATTAAAAGCAAACTTATTTTCTGGCTTCCCATCTGGGACCTTATATAGTTTGCACCAGTTAACTGAAGCTTCAAGGTAACCTGGGAAAAACTTCCTGACATCATCAATATCTGCAATAGGATAAAAATGCATAAAAATCAAAGTTAAATAACAACTTCTTCCAAATCCACCATTCTAAATATACATGTACAAGATTCCAATACACCAATAAATCTGTCATAAATATTTCAATTAATGAGCTCATGAAAACCCAAATGCATGGGTTACAGATTTAATCCTCTACTTACACAGAGTATTACATACAGAAAATGCAAACATTTTGAATATAATTTAGTAATTGTTGGATGCATTTAGCTTACACTAGATTATAAAAACAATCACAGATACTCTTATACAAAGTCAAGATAGATTGGATGAAGCAGACTGGAAAATTTGATAAACTGGCTACTGATTAAGCACCTTACTTTCTTAAAAAGCTCAGTGTTCCAAAATTGTGTCTGGAAACACAGCCACTTATTTTCGTCTCCGTGGTAAGGGATTTAAGAAGCTCCAGAGCAACTAAAACATCTAAAATCTTCTATTCTGAAACCCAGAATGCAACAACCTTTTGTTCAGCCATGGTCTGTGGAATGGCCTGAGCTAACCATGGTCTGTTACATAAAGTGTATTAAACAATAAATCACAATAGTTCATAAACACACTGAGCTTACGAATACTTTAGTATGCTAATCCAATTAATGATACTGATTTAGGATAGTAAAGCATCTGTTCAACCAAAGGAATGAATACTAATTTGCACTATGCATTCTGTATAATTCAAGAAATCACTTAGAAAACCCAGATCGGTATACACAGACTGAAAGCTTTGTTTTCAATCTCCCAAGAACCTCTGCAAAAGTTGACTTCAAACCAAGTGTATGTATGATGGGGATTAAATAATTAAAGTCACAAGTAATCATTATTTTAACTTAAAATTAGGGATTGTCATCATACCCACTTCCTTATCCTACTTTTTGGCATATAATTATTTATTTAAACCTAAAGTCCAAGTGCAGCCCTCAACCCTTCCAAAGGGTGTCTCTTCCCTATAGGGTCAGTAAAAGTTGATTTTTTTCAAACTGAAATGTATTTTTTAAAAAATGTAAAATGTCAAATTGTCATTTGGAGCTGCAAGTATGGTAGACAGCATGGGGAAGGGATGTCCATGGGTCCTACTTAATGGACTGTAGGAATGACTTTGAGGTAAAAGGGAGGAGATGTTGCCTAGCATACAAGCAAGAGAGATAGGAGCTCCCAGTGGTTTAATGGTTAGAGAAAGAAACAGAAAAATTCACCCAAAAGGATCAAGCAGTTAAAAGTGGAAGTGGGAGGCTGAAGTCACTTAGTAGAAACTTTTGGCACCCTTCAGAATGCCATATCCAAAAGTCCCTAAAAGACAAAGCCATGACAGTTTAAAGAGATTGGGTATGTAGACCAGACAGAATTGATTATTATTATCCATTACTATTAAACAATTCTTACCATGGATTTTCTCAGCCTGTGGGTCATCCACACTGATAGCTATGACCTTCCAGTCAGTTTCTCCTTCATCGATAAGACCGATAATTCCAAGGACCTTCACCTTAACAACTTCACCAAGTGTCCGAACCTTAAAACATAGAAGATGCTGCACAATTTGTTTCCAAGATGCTATTTAAGGTTGAAAATCAACTGGAACAGAACTGAAAATAGGTTGAGATAGGATGGGGAACAAAAAGAGAGAGGAAGAAAATTCTGGAGGAAAACATAGTTGGTTAACACCTTGAAGGAGAGCATTCTGATGTTTTAAATTAAAACATATTTTAATTACAGGTGGCGTTTTTCTGCAGTAACACTGTATCTAAGATTTTATATTTCAACTGATTCAAAGGAATAAAGGCTGAAGTCACCACTCTGAGTCTAGAGAAGATCATTATGTAAAGATAACTGCTTCAAGCTACCAAATGATCCACTAAACAGCCAGGCATTTAAACCCTAAAGCAGAGATCCCCAACCTTTGAAGGTTGGCAGCCCAGAGCAGGGGGAGAAGGAAAGAATGGATGGTTTTGTGGGAGGGTGAATGCTTCGGCCCACAACAGCATGCATGAACATCCATTGCTTGTGCGAGTGGGGCCAGGAGTGTTTGTGCAAGTGGGACTGTGAACGCCTACAATGATTATGGCAATGCTTGTGTGGGTGGGACAGTAAACGCCCATGATCTTGCACCACTGCTTCCACGGGTGGGGCCAAGAATGCCCATGATGCTTGCAGTGACACTCATGTGAATGGAGCCATGAACGCTCGCGACGATGCTCATGCAAGTAGGGCCGTGATCACTTGTGATGCTTGCAAAGACACCCGCATGAGTAGGGCTGCAAACATCTGCAACACTCATGCAAGAGGGGTCTGCGAACACCTGTGATGGTGCTGGTGAGAGTGGGGCTGCGAACAATTGCAATGCTCATGGGAATGTTTGTGTGTGTGGGGCTGTGAATGTCCCACTCGTGCCTGTGGGGCCTATGTGCACAGCCCCCACTATGCACCTGTGCACATGTGTGCAAACACATGCACATCAGCCAGCCATTCAGGCACCCCGATGGCCAGTAAGCCATGGCCCACTAGTGGGCCACGGTCCACAGGAACACAGAGAAGTTGTTTACTTTTTGCACTGAAGTGGGCAATCAGGTGAGCAATTAATCAGTTTGAAGCTTTATTCTAATCTAGCCTGTAACATTCTAATCTAGCCATGTTGTCAAAATCTTTTCTTGTCAAAAGAATTAATTGTCTGGAGACTTCAGCAAGCTTCATCACTATGTTAGAAAACAAATGGTTTAAACAACTAAAGTATGCTTCTGTAATTCAGACAGACCTGGGCACCAATTTCACAAACATCAATAGGATCATTGTCACCACAGCATCCTGTATTACCATCTGTATGCCTTGGATCTTCCCAAGTCTGCAGGGGAGGAAAAAAAAGGAAATAAATTGTACCATTTATAACCAATTGTTTTTGTTGTTAATTGAGAAGTCGTGTCCGACCCATCGCGACCCCATGGACAACATTCCTCCAGGTCTTCCTGTCCTCTACCATCTGCTGGAGTCCATTTAAGTTCACACCTACTGCTTCAGTGACTCCATCCAGCCATCTCATTCTCTGTCGTCCCCTTCTTCTATTGCCCTCAATCTTTCCCAGCATTAGGCTCTTCTCCAGTGAGTCGTTCCTTCTCATTAGGTGGCCAAAGTATTTGAGTTTCAACTTCAGGATCTGGCCTTCTAAAGAGCAGTCAGGGTTGATCTCTTCTAGGACTGACCGGCTTGAATGCCTTGCAGTCCAAGGGACTCGCATGAGTCTTCTCCAGCACCATAGTTCAAAGGCCTCAATTCTTTGGCGCTCAGCCTTTCTTATGGTCCAACTTTCACAGCCATACATTGCAACTGGGAAAACCATGGCCTGGACTATACGCACTTTTGTTGGCAGGGTGATGTCTCTGCTTTTTAGTATGCTGTCTAGATTTGCCATAGCTTTCCTCCCCAGGAGCAAGCGTCTTTTAATTTCTTGGCTGCAGTCCCCATCTGAGTTGATCTTTGAGCCCAGAAAAATAAAATCTGTCACTACCTCCATTTCTTCCCCATCTATTTGCCAGGAATTGAGAGGGCCGGATGCCATGATTTTGGTTTTCTTACTGTTGAGTTTCAAGCCAACTTTTGCACTCTCCTTCTTCACCCGCATCAAGAGGCTCTTTAGTTCCTCTTCACTTTCTGCCATTAGAGTGGTATCATCTGCATATCTTAGGTTGTTGATATTTCTCCCGGCAATCTTAATTCCAACGCTTGATTCATCTAGCCCTGCCTTGACCAATTGGTTATTATTGCTTTGTTCATTTGTACAAATTATTGACATTCTGAGAAGGGAGGGTCAAGTTTTTTATGTGATGAAAGTATAACAAACAACTAGGAACTACAGTATCCATTTGTTATTTTACTTCAGTCACCTTTTAAAAAAAAAATAATAGATGTTCCAGCAGACATTTGTTTAAAGCTAGTTTAAAGAAGAGGATTTCAGCTTGAGCACAGAAATAGAGTCAGGGAATATCTACTGTGACTGAATAAGTACACATTTTCACGGCCAATGGTCTGAGCAAACCTCTATCTATATTAACTTTAACAAATCTACAAAAGTATTAAAGACCAGATTACTGGGAAAAAAATGTTTTCCTGTCTTTAGAAGCTGATATAGACTATCATTCTGACATCAATATTTGGAAAAGTAACAGCAGATTGTAAAATGATTGATCTGTTAACATTTTCAAATGGTTACCAAATGCTTTCCCAAGTCAGTTTTCAGATTTCAAACAAATTTCATGTGGCTTTTTGATCAGGTAATCTTCTTAACAGTTGGTGGAATTCTGGGACATAATATGTTTTCACTTCAACTAAGCATGAGACAAAATAACCCATGGTATTCTGAGTAAGATCTACTTAAGTATGAGCTGAATAGGATACGGTAACAGTTAGGAGATTGGCTTCAAAATTGTATTTGAACTGCACTCAAATTCAGAAAATAGCAATAAGAATGATCAGGAAAGCTGTCACTAAGTCTTGTGAAAAGAGTCTAATAGAATTAGGTATGTCTATATTTAAGAAAAGACAAGGAGAGGAATACTTGAATTAACATCTGAAAGGCTGTCACCCAGAGAATTGAGGCCAAAGTGTAGAAAAATGGATAACAGATTTAAGTTATAGGAAGGCAGATTCCAGTTAAATATTAGCAAAATTTTCTAACAGCAAAAAGGTTACCAAGTGAAATGCTGAGCTCCCCTCTCTCAAGCAGAGACAAGTCACCCGTCTATCAGGAATGTTTTAATCTGGTTTCTTCCAGCAACCAGAAGATTGGACTTGATGTCCTCTATGGATCCCCACAACTCTATGCTATTATAAGTTGTATTTCAAAAGCATCCAGAGGTCCAAAGATTCTATGTTCCTGGTATAGTTGGAAGATGGAATAGTCTTCTCAAATCTTGGCATCCTCTGGATAAATCAGGACTACAATTCCCAGAATTCTCCACTATTTGAGAATTCCAAGAACTGCAGCCTCCATCTGCAGTGGGCCAATACAGGGGATCCATCAACTTTCAGATGCAAATACCAAGTAAATCTCAAATTATTATGTCATTCTAATAATAAAATTCAGAATGAAGCTCAAAAAGGCTAAAGAAGACACCATTTCCTTTTTTTATATTAATTTCTTAGCTGCCAAAAAATTGATCTATACTACAAATGCATCTTGCAAAAAAAAAATACTTTGGGCTAAACCCAGTTTATACTCAAAGTTCTCCTTTTCCCATTTTGATAATGAGAGAGCATCACATTGAGGTATATGTTCTATTTTGAACTCAATTCTATTTTGAATGCGGTTTGCAGAACATACCCTCATTCCCAATTTATTACCGAACCAGTGTCTATGTTTTCCTTACACTATTCTGCACTTTTAAAATACATAGGATATGTGAAGAGATGTAACTGAGAAAAAAGTAGGGGAAAATTATAAATTTCATAAATGAAGAAATCCCAAAACATTACCTGTGGGAAGGCCCCATAGTTCCAAATATAGCCTTTATGGGGAAAAATGTTTGCTATGTATCGCAGCTTGCCTTTCTTTACATCTTGCTTAATAGGATTCAGTGGCTCCTTGGTGGCAATCTGAAGGTAGTATAAAACAGGATGGGAAAAAATTGGGAGAGATTATGAATAAATGTCTCAACTATTTACTCCCAGATTGAAAAAACTCAACACAGTTCAGACTTTATATTTCAATGTATTCTTTAGTTAATTTCTAAAAGTAGAAGATAAAAACAAAATACTTAAATGAAATTTGTAATCTAAGGAAAAAACCATGGACCTGCAGATGAGAATTTCTCACTATTCTAGTTTCTAGAATTCAAGAATATTAAAGTAGAATGCTAAAGAGAGCTTTTGGGTGAGATTTGGAAGAAGACTTACTGAGCGTGACAAACATGAAATAATAATACACTGTTAATTCCTGAGTTTGGAGGAATATTCAGACAGTGGGAAACTGGATAGAAACTATCAACGGGAAATTGCTGGAAAACTGTATCATTAATATTAAAGGATTTTTTAAAGTAATTTTCCATAGATTGGAAGTAAGTAGCACTCAGCATAGGTTAACACTCCATTATATTTGCAGCCATTTAATTAGAAAGCACGTAGTTTATTTTAAATTTCCATTGTTCTCTGTGGAGGGACATTGGAAATATTTTCAGTTTTGTTCAACTGCAACATGAACTACTCAAAATAACCTGATAAAATATTTTAAGTAGGATTGGTTGTTCCATGTTCTGAACAACACTATTATTTTGTGCACAGGAATAATACCATACAGTTTCTTTAGTCCCACTGTGACAACACATGTTCAGTCACTACTCATAGCAGACAAGAGAGGAATTCAAAAGCTATCTTCCATTTGTATGCTAAATATAAAGAAAAGTAGCATTAAAAACTTCAAAGACACTCCCCAACTGCTATGCCTTCCTATGTCTAGGAAGAAACAATAGCATGAAGATTTCTCTTTCAAATATAGAATAATCAAATCTGCAGAGCATGCCATTCAAGCACTGGCTACAAATGTAAAGGATATTATTCATTCAATTTGTATGGGTGCTTCCCAAGTCCAAACATCATAGTTTATTAGAACATCTGTTAAGACATTTAGAGGACATCAGTTTAAAAAAGATAAAACATCTGAAATTTGAAAGACACTATGATTGGATTGCTGCTCATGCAATGCTTTGTTGCAACTTCCCTTCTTTTATTTGCAAGCTGCTTTACAATCTTCTAGAGTAAAAATTTCAAATTACCTCCATTTTAGCATTCGTCCAACGAGGCACTTCTACAATCATATTAAATACAACCTAGCAGGAAAAAAAAAGCAAAATTTTAAAAAATATCAAAAAACAGGTTAGCATATAAAATGTACTACTCAGCAAAAGCTGTTTGCTTCTTCAGATCTATAGAAGACAAATGATTCTCTCTCTTTCTGAGTCACATCTTAAGTTTGCAAGGTAGAGGGATACAATAGCCAAAGAGAAAAACTTAGCTGTCCCTAAGTGGATCTTCCTTCCATGTAGCTTATATATATTGAATATTCCATTGCATTATATAATGTCCTGGTTTCATGGACTTTATTTTTCCGAATAATTCAGCTACTAATCTTTTTATGAAAACAAATACAGAGAACAAAAGAGGACCATCAAATTATATTGGGTATGATAAATACGCGAGTACTTGATGTGGATTAGCACAATATCATCACAGATTACCCTGCTAGCTAAGTTGTATTTTTTGGGTTACTATGGATAGATGACAGGATGAATACTCTTAGAATTCTATTCCCTCCCCCGCAAAAAAAAAAAAAAGAAACAAAGAGTGGTCAGTACAACAACAAAATGCCCACGAGATCTCAGCTATAAAACTAGAGAAGTCACCATTCTTCTCCCAAACAACAGGCACTGCTGAAGAGGTTGCAGAATTTAAGAAATGATTATGCCTTGTTTACCACTTGCTTCCATTTATCCACGATGATGCACAATATTTAATAATTGGAAAATAAAATCATAAAAATCTAACACCATAATCCATGTAACTTTCGATTATCGTCATAACTCCATCAAAGACAGAAGGCTCCAATTTACATATTTTAATGCATGAAATGGAATAAACTGTAGAATATAAAAGCTCAGCTTTGATAAAAAGTCATCATCTAAATTTCTTACTCACAGATCACATTGTAAATAATCTAAAAAAGGTCTGCAATCGTACCTCATTTCCATTGTTCTTTGATCGTTTTGCAGGAATCATCTCATCCTGTGCAAGAAATCAAGGTAGAAGCAGTGTTCACTCACAAATATGCAGATCTAAAATATGATACTAAGTGGAATAGTCTGTCAAAAATTACCAAATTCAAACCCTAAAAAAATAAGTCTGCTATCCTTTTTACAAGTCACACAAATCATAATTTGTTCTAATCATAATATATACAACAATGACTAGATTTACACATGATATCAGACTATGAACTATGGTCTATAATTCCTAGCGGCTGAATTTCTACAACACACTTAGCTAAAACCAAGGAAGGTTTGCTTACATAAAATTTGTAGTCCTGTTATCAAAACAGTATCTTTTCAGAATCACCTAATGATAAAACAAGATTTCTCAAACTGTGATCACTAGCAACTAAGATGGGACTGCAAAATATACTGAAAGCTTATTGGGTTTGCACAAGCAAAAGCAAAGCAGTGTCAAAACTTGTTCCCTCTTTGCCTCGATGTGTAGGCAAAATGAGGAAATAAACTTGGAATTGTGATTGATAAAATGGTTTTCTGCCAGATGATAAATTCTGGCATGGCACATTGTCTTAATGCGTACTTCTGAAATGACTGGAGAAGCACATGTGTTAGTAAAGTTGAGGACGACTGATCTTCTTAAATAAATTACCTTTCCTCCACTATTTTGACTACAGCAAATCAAAATTTAGCTTTTCAAAACAAATATTTCACTGGGTGATATAAGCAAAAGAAAAGAAAACCAATTTGCTGTAATGCTAATAAAAGCCTGACATGGTATAAAGACTTTACACATTTGATTTCTATCATTTTCAAATGTGGGAATATATTTTAGAACCCAATATTTGCCATATCAAACTTTAATTATAATTAAAGATTATATGACTGCAGTAACTAAAAACTAGAAGTCCAGAGATTAATTCATATCTAGTTTTCTTGATGCTGAATAGAGTCAGTACTTCAACAAAAAGGATATTTTTTATATTTAATTACCTCATTTGGGTCAGCAAACAGAGGGATGTCATGGAATGGGGAAATGTATTTTCCCTTTGAGTTCTCTGCAAGAGGAAATAAAATTATATGCAAACAGAAAAAAAAAAAAACCCAGGAGCATTTCAGCTGCTTTCATCTTAAAAGAACTTGTAGAGTTTAACTACAGAGACTATTTGTTTAGCTAAAATAAACACATTGGCCATGTTCAAATATACATGTTGGCCATTTTAAGACAATCACTGCTTTATTTAATTACACAAAATAAGCTTGAGTCTTGGCAGAAACAAATCAGGATTTCTTTAATTTACCATGGTTTCTTGTCTTGTCTAGAATAGCAAACTAGACTACGGGCTTAGGGACAGGACCGGTGCTAGATATAAAGATGAAACCATTAACTGATCTTCTGTCATCCTTACAAAATTGAAAGTAAGGAATGGATAGTGATAATGTAATTCATGGGTCAAGAGTCAGACGGATGTTAAAATGCTGCACCATCCTTATTATCAGAGATAACACCCATTTCCACCAGTCTTTCTTTCCATCTGCTCTGTAACTCAACACTATTCCCAAGGATATTCCAGACATGTCTTTTCCTCTTTAGAGGAAAATGCAGTAAAGTTCAGGACTGTACAACTCAATTCACTCCCATATTCAGCTAAAGGAATCTGTGGAAGTGCAACCAATGGTGCAGCAGACACATTTCAGCCTTAGATAGACCTACATTTATGCGTACATAAATATTAGCTTTCACTGGGACAACCCGCTCACTCTAAATTGTTATATAGCTGCTGCACGGGAAATCTGAGTTGTATAAACAGAAGCATAGAATCAAGATCATGTGAAGTATTAGTACTCCTTTATAAAACCCTAGTAAGACCACACTTGGAATACTGCAGCCAATTTTGGTCACCAGATCACAAAAAAGATGTTGAGAATTTGGAAAAAAATTCAGAGAAGAGCAACAAAGATGATCAAAGGCCTGGAGACTAAAACATACGAAGAACAGCTAAGGGACTTGGATTTGGCTAAAGAAAAGAATAGGGGAGACCTGGTAGCAATTTTCCAGTATCTGAGGGTCTCCTGCAAGGCAGAGGGGGCCAGGTTGTTCACCAAGCACCAGAGGGCAGGACGAGAAACAATGGTTAGAAACTGATCAACGAGAGAAGCAACCTGGAATTAAGGAGAAACTTCCTGACAGTGAGAACAATCAACCAGTAGAACCGCTTACCCCCAGAAATTGTGGCCGTTCCATCACTGGAGATTTTCAAGAAGAGACTACATTCACCTGAGACTGTATAGGTTCTCCTGTTTGAGCAGGGGGCTGGACTAGGAGACCTCCAAGGTCCCTTCCAGCTCTATTCTATTCTAATTATTATTCTTATTCTATTACAAATCTGACATGTGACAGCTTACACGTACTAGGAGAAAATGTAAATTTTGATCATATAATTCCAGTCAAGGACAAGAGTTAACCTGGAGATCTATTTTACACTTGCATACACCCAGAAGAACAAAGACACACATAGAAGGACTTTATTATTCACATCACTAAAGCTGGAAGACGCTCCAGACCGCTCCAAAACAGACGACCGAAGTCACCTAAACTTGGCTCCAGGCACTTTTTCTCCAAGCCACCTGCTTACATTATGCATCGGCCAACAAAGGGAAAGGCCTGCCTTCAAGACCGGAGTGGGGCGAACACCTCTTTACAACGTCATCAAAAGGCGTCATTAGCTAGGGAAACCCCCTCCGGGCGCGTTCCAAAGGAATCCCAGCAGCTCCGCTGCCGTTTTTCTCTTCCTCCGGTAGCTACTTACTAAAATAGAGGCGAAAATCGGTTGAATGCAGGCGCCCCCTTTGCTCCGTGTCGTACTGAACCCGAGCCATGAATCCGAGTGAATAACCGCGGCAACTCTGCGGCCGAGGCTGCAGAAGCCGCGTGGCTGCCCTTCTGCCGGAAATGCTGCCCTGCTGAGCAGCCCAAGACAGCCGTCGGAGCCAACCCAAAGCGGCATCCGCCCGCATGCTTCTGCTCTCCGCTTCTGCGGGCACAGTAGTCCCACCTCCGGCGCGGCGGGTGGAGTTCGAGCATGCCCAGCAAATCCTCAGGCGTTATCGCCGTGTGGGTTACTTTCCGATCGAGCCAGGAAAACTGGGCAGACATGCAAGGAGAGCAGAGTTCGAGGCGTTGCCAACCGGCGGGAAGAGAAGGGGGAGGCAGGGACACTATTTGGCAGTGAAAGATTGGAAACATCTGCGCCTTTCGTTGGTGCAGGAGCTTCAGTCTCTTTCGCCACGCTGTCCTAGAGTTTGTGTGGGCTGCGTGGAGCCCAAGTTGCATTCTGGTGTCCTGATCCCGCAGTCAGGAGCTGCAGACGAAGCACGCAAAAAAGCTGGCATCTCTCACCAGCAACCCTTTTTTGCTTGAACGGCATTTCCCACATATAATGTCAGATTGTATCGCTTAAGAAAGGGGGGGGGGGGAAACCCTCCTGGTCCCATTTAATTAGTGATGTGGGTGATATAGAATAGAATAGAGCTGGAAGGGATCTTGGAGGTCTTCTAGTCTAGCCCCCTGCTCAAATAGGAAAATATACCATCTCAGACAAGTGACTGTCCAGTCTCTTCTTTAAAACCTCCAGTGATGGAGCGCCCATGATTTCTGAAGGCAAGCTGTTCCACTGGTTAATTGATCTCACTGTTAGGAAGTTTCTCCTTAATTCCAGGTTGCTTCTCTCCTTGATCAGTTTCCAATCATTGTTTCTTGTTCTGATCTTTGGTGCTTTGGAGAATAATTTGACCCCTCTTCTTTGTGGCAGCCCATGTCGTCCCTATTTCTTTAGACTAGTCAAACCCAAGTCCTGCAGCAGTTCTTCATATGTTTTAGTCTCCAGGCTTTTGATCATCTTAGTTGCTCTTCTCTGAACTTTTTCCAAGTCTCAACATCCTTTTTGTAGTATGGTGACCAAAATGGGTTGTAATATTCCAGGTGTGGTCTCACTAGGGTTTTATAAATTGGTACTAATACTTCATGTGATCTTGATTATATGTCTCTGTTTATACAACCCAGGATTGTATTAGCTTTTTTGGCTACTGCTGCACACTGCTGGCTCATAGTCAAGTGATTGTCCACTAGGACTCTAAGGTTCCTCTCACAGTTACTGTTTTGAGCCAAGTCTCGCCTAATCTGTACTTGAACCTTTGATTTTTTTTCCTGCCTAAATGTAAAACTTTGCTTTTCTCCACATTAAAACTCATTTTGTTGGATAGGACCCATTGTTCAAATTTGTCAAGATATTTTTGGATCCTGAGCTTGTCTTCTGGGGTGTTGGCTATTCCTGCCAGTTTAGTGTCATCTGCAAATTTGATGTGTTTAGATTCGCGTAGCGTACTATGCCATAAACCTTGGCTATTAAACCACAATGGAGAGGACCACACACTGTTGAGCTAACATTGCACTCTAGGTCACTGAAGATGGAGTCAACAGAAAAAGGTCAACTCTTCTGGCTAAAAAGCAGAGCTGAAGTCTTCTTCCTGGCTTGTGGAGAAAACTCTAGCCTTTTGTGCTGCCTTTTAAGAAAAAACAGAAATCAAATAAAAGGAATAGCGTCTTCATCAATTTTGTCAGAGCATACAGCAACAAACTAGACAGCAGCAGGATAAAGAGGAAAGTAATGCAGCATGTAATTATGGATCATGCCCAATTCTGTGAAAGTGACTTATGATCACCATATACTAGTAGTGGCCATGGCCAAAGAAAAGAACCATGTTAGAACTTAATCAGAAACTGATCAGCCAACATCAAGGGCCAAGCCAAGACACATCCTTCTGCTGAACTCATGACAATTGGCAAATGGAGTACTACTCACAAGTTCTGATAATTTCTGCCAGTTACAAAAGTTCAAACAGGGAAATATCTTCCATTTTGGAATTGACCAAAAAGCAAGATAGCCACATCATGTAACAGCTAAATATTCCTTCTCAATACTTGATACTGTACCCAGACCTGAACTATCTATTAAAATGGAACATTTCTTGAACACTGACCTTCTAGGCCTGGTAGTGAAAACAGTCTTGACTTCGTGATATCTGGCTACCATCAAGAGATTATCAGCTGACATACCATTGAGGTTTGATGCAAAAATGCAAGCTTGTAATTCTGCTGTTTTTCCTCAAAAAGGAAGTGGAGAGGACTTTGTAACAAATTTGTTGCATAGATACTGTAGGCAGCTGCAGAGATTGTGTTGTCTTGAACAAGACATCTCTGACCACCAGTACCTAATACTTTTAAAAAAAAAAAAAAAAAAAAGCTTAATTCTAGTAATTTGCAGTTTATTTTGATGGGACCTGTTGGGGCTGTAAGGAAAGCTTCCTTTGATTTCACTATGTGGTAACTGCTGCAAATTGAATTAGGTTGGTTTAGGCAACAATTGCCTACCTTTCCTATCAGAAAAGTAGTGTTGCTAAACAAAAGTATATCTACTCCCATTTCAGAAGAGAAAAAATGTGGGGGAAAATGCACGCGCAGCAAACTGCCGTGCTTCCCCCCCCCCCAAACCTCATAACCTTTTGATACCCTTTGTCCTAATGAAGCAGCCAGAAGGTCATCCACTTTTGACTTAATGCCTCACCTACCTAAACAGATAATATGCTTAAGTTCCTTCCTGTTTCTTCCTGTCTTTGTCAGTTCTTTCTCCTTTTGATCTACCTGTATTTGTTCTTACCTGGTCTTTGATCATGTAATGTGTTACTAGAAAATAGTTGCTTACATGAAGACATTTTCCAATGAAGAAACCTTTGTCAGCATCTAATGGTTAAGCTGGTGTATGTAACAAGTATATAAGAAGCAATAAACTCAGAGATTGTCAAACTGTGTCCCGCAGCTTCAAACCTCTGCTCAAGACATGCCTGCGTCTTTTTCTTAGCGTCTTACAAAAAAAGGCAGCTTGGTGTACTGGTTAAAGTCCTGGCCTAGAAACTAGAAGACTCAGAATGTTAGGCATGGAAGTCAGCTGTGTAACTCTGGGCCAGTCATTCTCAATCCAACTCCCCTCAAGGTTTTTTTTTTTTTTTTTTGCAGAGGAAATAGGAGGCAGGAGTATCAGGTATGTTTTCCACCTTGAATTATATATTTTTTTTAAAAAATGATTTTTTTAAAAAAGGCGGAAAATTTCATATGTAACGTAGTTTTATAAGCATTTAATTCTATTAATGACAAAAATGAAAGAAAATATAGCAAGGCCATAGAAAAACAACCAGCCAGCCTGAGTCATTAATCTGGATCAGGATTTTATTCATACAGAACAATTCTGTCCAGAACAATTCTATATCTACATGTGAAAAGCAGAAAGCTGTGCAGACTGATCTAAAATCTAAAATCCAGATATGTACTTAAATGATGTGCTTCAGGTTTGATTTCTCTTCGCTTGAAATTAGATGAATCACATGAATGTTTGTCCCAGAAAGGTTGCATACAACAGTAATAAAACTGCTAATTTGTAATGGTACATACTGCATTAGCACATAGTGCATGCTATTGCAATACCTGCTAAACATTGAAGAATGTTGTAGCTGTGGACTTGGGAACTGCATTCAACTCAGGATTTAAACCTAGAAATTAGGAATATGGACACAATCTGTTAAAAGGACTTAAAATATTAAATGTGTATTCCCCAATAGGCGATAGTACCTATCAGATCTTGGCTGATTATAAAAAACTAAGTCAAGTCATACCTAGCTATTACTTGGACAAGGGAACATTAGGAAATTCCAGGGTTAGACAATTGAAAAAAATTATGGGAGTAAGCAATGGCCAGCCGTGCTGTATTGTTCCAAAGAAACTCATGAGAGGTCAAAACTGACTGGAAAGAAATGTCCTCTTTGGTTTCTGTAAGTCAGTGGGAGAATTTAAGGCAGCTGCTATCCCTATGCTGTTTCAAAAATGTTTATAGAAAGAGCTAAGTATACATTCTCTTTCACACACACATAGACGCATATTGCATTCTTGCAAGTGCAGATTTTCAGTAATTCAGAAATAAGTTTGCATCATCTTTTAGTAGCTTTGCTTTTTTAGTACTCCTTTCCCAAGGTTTTTTTGTTTTTGAAAGCTCTACTAATAAAATGTTCCATTAAGTTTTTTGAGGTAATTTGGTTCCCTGCTTCTCTCTGCCTCTCAACATCTAATGCAGGGGTGTCAAACTGCTGGCCCTTGGATCAGTTGCATCATGCGGAGGCCACGCCCACCCCAGCTCCAGCAATGTGAAAAAAGTCGCAATATGTTGTGATATGTCACGATACAAGGCGAGTTTGACACCCATGATCTAATGTCTTTCTTTCCTTTGTTGTTTATTTTGATAATCAGATCACCTTCTGTCTATATATATACAATACATTCAGTTCTTGTATATGGGTAAACATACAAGTCCTTTTTCACAGAAGCCTAAAAAATGTGCATTACTTCTCCTGGGAACTGTAGACCTTGCTTGTTTGAGTTTTGTCCTTTGCAAACTTTAAACAGACAATTAAGGTATATCACTTGATTGAATCATATGCTGGAGCAGTAACCTCAATCCAGCAATTAATAAACTGCTCAAATTGAAAACCTTCCTATATCTTAAGAAAGTAAGGTAAAACCTTTCACTGTGGAAAGAGAAGTCTCTTTCTTTATATTTCCATGCTCTGTTGGGCTGCCCTAAATAATCATTAGACTTTTTTATGATTGTATCTAATTTTGCAAATGGAATCACTGGACTAGAATTACTTTGAAAAATTAAATCACACAAAAGGTTATTTTTAATAGCGTGTATTGAAACAGTTCCTTTCAAAGAACAAGGAACCTTTGGTTTATTCAACAACAACTGGAAGCACTATAATGCTTTTGGCAGTGGAGATACAGATAATGATCAGTATAGGGCCATAGAACAATTGCAACTGATAGGCTTCTAATAGCGTTGCTTAGGAACATATTACCAATATTTTCTGTGTGGAGTTTAGCACCTGTTTCTGCACTTAGGGAGAAAAAAAATCCTGTTTTGAACATTTATATAAGCATCATCAGTGGGGCTGAAATTAATGGGAAGACAATATATTCTTG